ATTAAAGTAAGATTCTTTTTGTTTCTTCATGCTAGAGAATGAGTTCAGCCATTTTTGCTTCTGTTTTCTCAAAGGCAGTGAAATATACTGCTACATTTCCCGCAGTTTTAAGTAATCCCTTTCTTGAAGAGTGCACTAAAGACACTGTGTATAAATATTTTTTACATATATCTTCTCATTTGCCTTTCTCTTCAGTTTTTTTTTGTTTTGTTAATGGATGTCTAGCCCTGAATTGCAATTTTATTGATAAACCTAAGGTCAGTATTTCAGGCTGTACACCTGAGAGGACTTACTCTGACATTAAATAGATTTTTTTTTTTTAATAGGACCTCCAGCTAAAGATGGAGCAACAACAGAAGATTCTTAAACTTAAAGATGAAGAGATTGCTGCATTTAAAAAGAAGAAAAATAACTCAGCAGGAGCTTTACAGAAGCTACAGGTAGCTAATCTAGTCTAAATCTGTGTGGGCCCTGAAAAAAAAAAAAAAAAGAGGGAAAAAAATTGTTTCTCTGTAAGGTGTTTGGAAGATGATATTCCGCAGTAGCTTTGTTTTCTTTTTGCTGTAACAAAAACTGAGACTACAGTCAAGAAGCTCTTACACCCTTTTGGAATGAAGAGAAGGAGGGGGCAGTAGTGTGTTTGATTGTCTTCATATGAATTGTCAAAGATGCCGATTCAGAAACCTGAGAATTCCATAGGTTTGGTTGTCTGTTGGATTTGAGGATGATCCTGATGAACTCTGTAACAAATGTTTCAAGGTTTGCTTTTTGGTGTTTTTTCTTTTTCTTTTCTTTTTCTTTTCTTTTTTTTTGTTTTCCCCCTCACTGATTTAGCAGGTTTTTGTATGGTTTGATTGTTCCTAACAGCATTAGAGTAGTAGTTGTCCTCTGTGACAGTGTTAATCTACATTATTCCAAATTTGGATATTGGAATATGGGAGTTCTGTGAGTTATCCAAAATCTTTAAGGGCAAAAAGAAATTTAGAAAGACAAATAAGGGCATTTTTTTTTAACTTCACCAGCGATATACTCTCCGATTAAGCATGGAGTGAGAAGTTTCCAGTGGACTGTATTAGCAGGATCAGAGCTCTCGTTTTATTTCTTTCAGCATCACACTTTCTTGGCACTTACTGTTTTCTTCACAAATAACTGATCTGGAGCAACTACAATGCAGTGAGGATGGGCTAGCAGAATTCTTGTGTTAGCTTCCAAACCTAGTTGCTATGATTATATATAGGACTCTTATTTATATAGCTATTCTTAAGAATAGTTTCTACATCTCATTAAAGGCATCTGATACAAACTTTTTTAGAGAAGATGTGGGGAGGTAACACTGCTTAGTCTCTTTTCAAGTCAGTCCAGTTTCTTTATTATTCTGAATCGACGTTCTGTTGCAAAATTAATGTTAACATTAGAAATGATTTTTTTTTTTATACGGTTATAGAAATCAATTACTCTAACAGAGCTAAAAAACATAAATATAAAATTCCGAACCAAAAAGTTCTGGTTAAAGCTCTCTGGATCTCTGTTTAAATTTTAGAAATTAGAAGAACAAAAGAAATGGCTGGATGGAGAAATGGAAAGAATTCTTCAACAGCACCAACAATTAGCAGAACTAGAAGAAGATTTAAAAAAAAGAGAAGCCATTGTAACCAAGAAAGAAGCATTACTGCAGGAGAAAAGCCACCTTGAAATCAAGAAACTAAGATCTAGCCAGGTGGTCTAAGAAACACTGTGAAACACTGACTACAAGTGTAGTGCTAACTGAAAGACTGGGGCAGGGGGGAGCCACAGCCACATAGCAGAACAGACTCAAGTCATCTAACCTGTGTCTCTAGCACTGCCACTGAGTTGCAGAGTGGCTTGAGTAAATCAACATTTAAATGTGGATAGTACAGAATAATAATATTTATTCACCTTTCTTCTCCAAAATTCTGACAACAAAACCAAAAAAAAAAAAATCTGAATCTGGATGTTATGTTATTGCAGAATACTACGTAACAGGATATCCAGAAATGACTTAGTTCTTTTGCAGACTAGAGAGCACAGGGGAAACATTTTGCATTATTTATATTTAGTAGCAAAAATTAATAGAAATTAAAGTGTCATTGTCACTCATGATGGCTAACTCATTATTTAACTTTTTGTATGTAGAAAATCGATGTTAAGTGTTTTCCTCTGTTTTCTTTCATCAAGTATATTGTGAAATTTTTGGTAGCCATCTACTCAATATAATTAGAGTCCCTCTGTGCAAGAAGCAGACAAGTCTTTCGTTGCAGGATGTGCAATTTGAACTGTGTACAGTCTCACATACATGCTCCTTCTGGACGGAGTATTATATCTGTGGGGTCTTTTTCTGTTTGGTTTTTAGGCTTTGAACAAAGATAGTGTAAAGTTATCTACTCGCTTAAGTATGCTGGATCAGGAACTGAGTGATAAAGGTATGCAGCTTCAGGACAGCACCACTGAAGATAAGAAAGACATTTTGGAAAAAATTCAGGTTCTGCAGAAGGAAAGAGATGAGCTGCTCACAAGAAGAAACAGTGTGGATGAGAAACTGAAAGATGGTAAAGTTTTGTCAGCTGAGGTAAATAAACACCTTTGAGATAAATACAGCTTTTAGGTAGTGTTGTGTAATAAGGCATTCTAATCATAACCTAAAATGTCTCCATATACTAGGTAAGCTAGAACGAGGAAACTGAGGGGTTTTGTTGTTGTTGTTGTTTGGTTGGTTTGTTTTTCTTTTCTTCTTTTTTTACAGCAATGTTAGAATACTGCAATGATAGCACTACTTATGCGCTAGCTAACAAAATCTGCATTCAAAGGGACTTAGTTTAGCTCGTGCCTTGACAAACTCCACTGCCTCTAAGGACTATGTAATTAGAAATAAGGAAGCTGAAGGCTTTAATCAGTTTATCTTAGGCAGATATTTTAGTGTCAGAACAGATTGTACATTGCCATGTTCTAATAGTGATGTCCCCTGATTGATGGATTGATTGATTTATTTATTTTAAGCATTTTGTGAAAAGCAATCCTTACCTGAAGGCCTTCATATTTTTACATTGAAAATAACCCGTATTGCCTGGATGGTCCACATTTTAGTTGATTAGTATAATTAAGTTAAAGATGCAGTAAGTTTATATAGAATGCACAGATTCTTTCTAGGTCTTGACAAGTAACATGGGGACGTGGCTGAGCTGATCAAATAGTCTGCAGGTGCCAAAAAGACCCCTCCTTGCTTCACTCCTCAGAGCCTCTACATGTAGTGCCCCAGGCCATGCATTTCTGCCATTTTGCTGCACAAGTTATAGTCACTAAGCTCTTTAGTGACCTTATTCATTCATTAATCCAGGAGAAACCTAGCACAAAAAAAAAAAAAATTATAATAGAAGTTGGACTGCGGGAAGGGAAGGATGAGGGAAGGATGAAAAGGGAAGTGTAACTTCTTCTGTGGTGATGAACCATTTGGTTGACCTCTGTATAATGGAACTCTACCATGGCAAACAAAAAAAAAAAAAGAAAAGAAAAGACAAACACTCTAGATTTGTATCTTGTATTTTTTCCATTCCAATGTCTATACTATTACCAGTTTGTCTTCCTCTTCAGAGTAGTCTCACTCCGGAGAGTGCGGTTTAATGAATGTCTTATGTATAATAATATTGTTTTTTCGCACATTTTTTAAAAGATCTCAGTCTTGTGCTTCTCTGTAGGAAGAGCATGTCCTTTTCCAGCTGGAAGAAGGAATTGAAGCCTTGGAGGCTGCCATTGATTACAAGAATGAAAGTATTCAGAGTCGCCAGCACTTACTTAGATCATCTTCTCAGATTCTCTCACAGAGTGAGGATAATGTGATAGGAAAGCTAGTTTCCCTATCTGCTGCTGAGCTCAGAGCTATCCTCTTCAAATATTTCAACAAGGTTTGTTTTAACTTATGAATGGTACTTTATCCTTCTGTCTATTGTCTGTTGTTATTCTAGATAATGAAAGGAAGTGGTACCAGGAAGTAAGGCTCAATTTAACAGGCTTTTGGTGAAAGTCTGCTGAGGTTATATTCGTCTGGTATTGATTCAGATATTGGAATCTTTACATTAACCTAAGTAGGATACTTAAAATTTTAAGTTTGTATATCTTGTTGTGGGGTCAGTAGCCTATAGGGTGCAGCTAACTTGGAGATATCCTTGCTCTTTTTCAGTATTCTGTGTTGCTAATTTTTGGAGCAATGACGTATTTAAACACTGCTGTCAAATTGAAATTCTTCCCAAATGTAGGCTTCATAAAGCTCAGGCTAGTATTCCTTTTCTTATCCCCCTCTTCCTCCTCCCTTCCCCCGCCCTCCACCCCCTCCAGTATACAATCTGTTTGCAAATACTGCCTGCAGTGTTTACAGCCACATACTGAAGAATTGCATTGACAGCTGGAAACATAAAAAATAAATGCATTAGGACATGGTGCGTCTTTGTGACCTTGGGTGAACCTGGAGGATCTTGTGAACAAGCTGTCTGTGCTATGCAAGTTGGAATTTTTCCAGAATCAGGGAGACTCTATTATATCAGTTTAAATTCTGGGCATAGTGTTAAAAACAAAACAAAAAAACACACTAGTCTATGTGATTAAAATATATCTTTGCTAAGAGCTTGTTTCTGAAGTGTGAACTCACAGCAGGCAAGTCTGTTTCCAGTCAATGCTTAAGGCTAATAGAGACCGTTGCTTTTGTATACGTTAATCTATAAGCAGAACTGTAAGCCTTCATTAAAATGGCTTGATAAATCAAAACAAGTATATTTCTTTCGTAGATTGTTGGTCTACGTGAGTCTGAACGTAAATTACAACTGCAGACTGAAGAACAGGAAATGAAGGTCATAGACCAGGAAAACGCAATACGTGAATTGGAATCGGCGCTTGAACGCATCAAGCTACAGTGTGACAGACAGCTGACCGTACAACACAAAGAACATGAGCAAAAAATACAGTTAATACTGCATCATTTCAAAGGTATTTGCTTCTTGTGGGGGATTGAACAGCAAATATTATCTTTAGTCACTACTGAGAAATACTGCATTTCAACTGAAAAAAACACATTTAACAGTAATACATGAGGGACAGATATTTTGTTTGTTACTAATTCTGATGTTGTATAGAATGCTGGGGAACAGAAACAAGGTATCTGTATAAAAAGAAAATTGAATGTTTTTCAAAACAGTATCAGAAATGTCATATTTTCATATTTAATTGGGTTTTAATAAGTTGGAAGATACAAGCCCTGTTGATCTTGATCTTATAAACACTTGTACTAAAACTGATGAGCAGGGTAGGCATGGCTTTTTTGATCCTGTGTCATAACAGTCAAAATGTACATACTGCAAGCAAACTGTCAGCAAGATATGGGACATATTCTGTCTGGCTTGGCATCTTGATTTTTGGCATATAAAAATGCAATGCATACTTGTTTCTGAAACTAGTTTTACTTGTTACAGAACATGATGGTGAAGGTATTGCAGAAACCTTGAAAGCGTATGAAGTAAAAGTCCAGCAACTGGAGAAAGACTTATTTTTCTATAAGAAAACCAGCAGAGAACTGAAGAAGAAATTGAAGGAACTTGTTGAAGATTCGTCCCATCAATTATTGACACCCACTAAATGTAAGTGTGTTATCTTAAAATATTTATGCAATTGTCAGTAGATCATTTGAAGTACAGTTACACGCGGAATATATCGGATTGAAAAACTGTGTTTCTTACTGCACTGTATATATTCTCTGGAAAGGGTTAATTACATCTTCCTCCGGTTTCAAGTACAAGATAGCATGTGTTTGTAGCGCCAGCAGTATATGATACAACAACGCTTTAAACTCTTGTTCCGTTTTCTTTGGATTCTAGCATAATTTCAGGAGTTGCAATCTCAGACTGTTACGGTTAAGGGAATTTTACTATCTGAAAGGCTCTGAATGACTTTGTAACTAACAGGATGGTAGCATGCCGCTGCAGGTGTTGGGCTGTTCAGACTCTTTTAGATGTATGGTAGTAGTTTAAAACACAAAATTAACTGCTCCCACCACTTGATTTCCTAGAAGTTTCCCACTAGGAGATTGCCAGTGAAGAGTTCCATGTTTTTGGTGGCTAAAAGTTTATTCCTTACTAAGGCGAAAAGAGAAGCTATAGACAGCTGTAGTAAAGACAAACTTTCTAATGTGATTTTGTGCTTCAAAAGACCAGCAATTGCTATCCTAAGTTATTATTTGCTCCCTGTCCTACTAGCCAGAATTCAAGCCTATAATAAAGCTGTTCTGGTAGGGAGAGAAAGAACTGTTTTGGTTCTCACACCTCTCAATGCCACCACCTAGTGCACAATGAAGCGTTCTTGGCCTTGTGTGTTTTTTTTTTTGAGGCTCAGCATGACTGGTTCTTCCTCCCAGTAGATACTTCTGTTTCTTTCCACTCTGGGCAATGCCATGCCTTTGTACTTGTAGATGCTGATCATGCACCTGCCCCTCCCAGAGTGAATTAAGGCTCAGCACTTGCCCTCTAGGTAGGATAATGAGCCAACAAATTCATTACTATAAAGTACACTGTCCTGTAGTGAACATGAATGTTCTAGAGGTTGCATCCTAACAGAGCGTGGGAAAGATTATTCTGTGTCCAGTATACAAAGAAGCATGTAGCTCAGGACATGTTTCCCCATGGAGAAACATCTATCTTAGCCAAACTATGGCAAGGAGTAGAAGGGAAAAGATCCCTGTGCATTTCCGACGTTTTTTGGCATATTTTGGAAGGAGTTAGAAGTGCTCTATATTTTTGTATCACTGCTTTCAGTTATTTTCCTTTTGAATGCACTCTGAATCATGCTTTCATACAACAGAATAAAACTTTTTTGACAATTGATTGCTGAACTTTAATAAAAGCCATACATGTACGTTAAAGTCACATTTGCAGAACGGTGTGTTTTGCTTGCGTAGTTACATGACTGTTTTGGAGAATATGAACAATTAAGCTGACTATGTTTTGAGTCAGTTGGCCTAAGATTGCTTACTAGGATAGATCAGCAGTGACAATGATGAAGCTTATGTTACAAGCAACTAGCCAGAGGAAAGAAGCAAATGATCACCCTGACGTTTTTGTAGATGACAGACTTTTTAACAAGAAGGATAAAATGTGAGGTGATGGTTATGTTAGACCACTTTCACACGACAGCCCACTGAAGTTGTGAAACTATGCTTGCTATTTAACTTTTTCTTGAATGCAGGTACTCATGAGTTGTAACTCTTAGCTATTTATCTCTTGGTAAATTATGTTTTAGATCACGGGGTTGGTAACAGGGCACGCAGTCAAGGTGAATCAGAAGTTGCTTCTGAAGACTTCAAGTGGACACCTAACCCTGAAACCAAAAGTCGACCGGGGAAAATTAAAGAAACAGACGGAACAAATGCCTTAAGAGCATGGCTGAATTCGTGCAAGTTTAGAGAAGACGTTTCAGAAGTTGGATGTAGCAAAACATGTTTGTCAAGCGGTGGTGATGACAAAATAGGAACAGATGAAACACAGGCTTCAAAACCTCATCCTCAGCTACTTTCAGTCACCCAGAGGAGAGAGACCATAACACAGTTTCAAGGAGCAACTCCAGTAAAACTATCTCGCCGAGAGCTACGTCATATCCCTCCCTCTGAATTATCTTTGAGGCGCTCAAGCCTTGGAGTTGGTGTCAGTTTCATTGCTCCAGACTCCATTGAGATGGACAAAAAGTCTAGTGTCCCTAAGATATAGTTACTCTTCGTTGCATTGTTAATAGCACTTGCTACTCAAGTAATTGTATTAGATGTCTTTGTTCATGCTCCTGTTAACTAGCAGTCATGGATAAATGAGTAAGTGTTCTTTAGTTATTAGACACACTATAAAGTCATTAGGTGTTTGCTGTGCTCCCACAGCTTCTGGGAATCTGAGATGCATTTTAATTGGCACAGTTATCTACAGGCATATCATACAAATGCCTTAACCTTAAGGAAATTATTTGTACTGGTTGGGGTTTTTTTGCAGCAATTTCAAAAAATATACGCATTTTTCAGAAACTGCACTGTATGATTTAAGGGTTTTTTTAAAACAACTTTGTTTCACTTTATTGAGTCAGAAATTATAACTATTTAATTTATTTGGATCTATAGCTAGAAAATGTAGTTGCCAAACTGTCTCTTAGTATTAGTAACGACCGACTTCTGTATTCTTTGCTTTTTGTGTATGTGTTTTTTTTAATAATACATTTTATACAAGACACACTTGAGATCAAAATTGGTATCTAAAGCTAAACTTGTTCCTGAAAAGGAACAGAAAGTACTTTTTTTTTTTTTTTTAACAGTATTTAATTACTCTTATTTAAGAGTCTTACTGTGTGCGCCAAAAGTCTTAAAATTATTTAATATTTTATAAAATAAACTTTGCATGCAAAATAAGTGTTATGTCTTATTGTGAAATTGGGAGACAATTACTTATTTCACTTTTTAGTTTTGTTTACTGGAGTTTTTCTGAGGGTAAGAATTGCACTTAGGCAACCCTGAAGCATGATATTTATGTCTGTACTAATACAATGGGAAAATATAGGACCAAACTCAGCACCTTTTAGGTAAGCCAGATGGACCAATGTATTATTCTTTTCTTTATACTAATTATTCATGTCTTTTCATTTAGAATAAATGCAAATTATTCTCTTAGGTTGCCTATCTGTTTCCGAGCGAATACTACACATATCTCTTTGTTGTTGTGACATTGTTGTTGCTAATCCGTTCAAGATGAAAAGCAATCTTTTGGTAAGAGGACAGTGATCACTGAGAAAAATAAACTAATTAGTAGCTTTACAGACTTGAAGACCGAGTCCGGAATGTCCAAACTTAAATGAATTCAACACTTCTGTCTATAATGGCACATTTGAAAGTAAGGTTAGTTTTGTTCTAGTGGTGGACTAAGCAGTCATGTTTGAAAGTACTGTCTTAGATTACTAGATGTACTTAGCAAAGGACATTTTCATATTGTGAACTAAAACCACTTTCTGATATTGTCTAGGCAAGGCCTTGTGTATAGAGTGTGTGGCTGTAGATTTAAAAGAACTGCATTTTTTCCGTCTTGCAAGCACAGAGCAAATTTGCGCACATCCAGAAGTCTTGCTACAACATGATCAAATGGCACATTTTAATATTTTGAGTAGACTGCAAAATATTTTATAATCAGATTGTTAAACCACTTCACCTGTCAAATGATTGTATCTTTCACAACTATACTTAATTATTCCCTGTTATTCAGCTGAAGTGTGAGATAAGGATTTTAGGCCTTTTTGTTTGAATATTTTTCACTGTGATGTAAGTAACAACTGGGAATCCTACTAATGTTAAGTTTAATATTACGGTATTTATTATTCACTTAATGTTTGTAGCTAGAAAGCAATAAACAAGTAAATGTATTTTAATGTGTATTTCTATTATTTATTACATCTCAAGTTTTACGTGAAAGAATTCTTGAGGGCATTTCTTCTAAGATAATGCTGTGCATTATCATCTACCACGTACTACTCTGTAAATAAAGGTGTTCTTTGCAGAAATTAAAAACTTAACTCTTTTCAGATGCAAAATTAAGAACAACTCGATCACTAGTAGGTGTCAGTTGATGTTCTACAGTTTCTGTAGCTGTGGGACTGCAGGTAAGTTATTCGAACATGGGTGGAATAATACACTTAAAATAAGAAATACTAGTGTGATCAAATAACATATAGTCAATTTTTTCACTTTACATTCTATATGCTATGCATAACCATTTCGAGACATAACTGCAATATCATCTGATGTTAAGATAGATAAGAGATACATTAGAGATGTTTGTGGTCTTGAGAGAAGTGCAAGAATTGTTGACTATGAGTGGAATCTAACAATTTACATACGTAAGCAGAACAAAGAGAGCCCAGTGAGGCAGTGAAACAGGGATAATGAAAAAATAGTGATTATTTGCTGATTTGTATAAATAAAACTGGCAGAGATAATAATATATTTTCCCTCTTTGAGACAATCTGTAGTTCCTCTTGCTAACTAAAAACAAGGCTTTGAGGCTTTTATTATCAGTCGTCTTTATGTTGTTTTGATGTTATTCGTTCGTTGGCATTTATGGCTTCACTGACATTTAGTTGATGTGCAATATGGGAATAAAAACAACATGGAGTTAATTTACAGTGAGCTACCATGTGATTCTTTAGTTATTAACAGCTGTTTCTCCTGTTACGCCAGTACTAAAACTAACTGCAAAAAAGCCATAGGTATAATCTATTCTGTTGTTTAGCTAGCATTTGTGAATATAAACTATTTATGATCTGAATGCTCTGTTACAATAACTGAACACTGATGGCAGCTGGCTGCATTTCTGTAATAGGCTCTTACTTTTTCCATTATTGAAACTTTATGTAGGACAATGCTTGCTTTTTTTTTCATTCACCCCATGCAAGTAGTTTGCACAATTAATTTGCACGTTAATTACCTAATCTCTGAGAAGCAAATCTGCATTTTAAAAAGTCAGTGAATGTTTTTTGCCCTGGTCTATACTGAGGCAAACTTCTGTTCTGAGTAAATTAAAGGGGAGATTTAAAGGGTACTGATGCTTCATATATATTACCTATGTTGGGAGCAGGGAGGGAATCTTTTACCTTGAGAAAGTAATTTTTAATCAGACTGATTTGAGGTTTTCAGCTCAACTGTAGTTTTACTGTATGGAAAATTGTATGTCAGTTCTGTTGCTCAGGATGAGTGTGCTGATCAATCATGTTCTATTCTATTTTGAGCTTTTTAATGCATCTGAAACTTATCTGATACGGAGCAAAATTATTTTATGGGGCTTCATTTCAAGAAGGGCACTTGTATACACTTCAAATATTATGTTATTTTTACTAAATGAGGAATACCGTAAATTAATACAGCAAACAACTGTTCTATCTGCAGATAGTGACCTTGTTAATCTTGATTATGCTATGAAATATAATCATAAAACACATGGATACTGCATTAGCTGAAGGAAATAATGTAAATGAACGTTTTTGTTGTTGTTGTTGTTGTTGGACTGATTACACGCCATGGTTACAAAATACAATGGTGTAACTTAGAGCTAGTTAAAAACTGGTAGTAGCGTTGGCAAAGACGTACTTCTGGTCTTCCAGTGCTCTTCAGACTGCACACCATCCAAATGATGAGGCTGAAAAAGGACAAGTATTTTTGAAGCAGCTTGGAGAAAAAATATTTTACTTTCCATTAATTTTGGAGATGTATTTAAGGAGAGGCAGATTTTAAAAGATAAAGCAGGCATCAATTCATTCACCACATTTTCTGTGATCATTTCTGTTGTGTCCCTCCTACAGTCACAGTTTTGAGGCATCACTAAACCCTCTTTCTCCTTGGAGGCACAGGCCCTGAGTTATGACGTCTCCAAGGCCCTGGGTGCAAAGACCTTGAGGCCCTTATGCAAAAAATGTCCTGAAGGGAGCTAAAAGCTCAGGTGAAGCTCAGGAGGTCAAGCGGAGGGAGGGAGGGAGGGAGAGAGGTAATATCACAAGTGAAAATCCCGAAGGTGTGCTTCACGCTCAGGGAGCAGCAGACGCACCAGCTCTGCCTCGACGCTCGAAATGGCGCCGGCAGCAGGTGGGC